GGGGAAGCGGGGGGCCAGGGCGCGGGGGGCCCTGCCGTGTTGGTCCCGCAGTGCCACCCCTCACCTGAGCAGTGCTGCGGGACCAACCCAGCAGCACCCCAGCTGCTCTGCCCCTGGCTTCCCCAAGTTCGCTGCTGCTGAAACTGACCAATGGTGGACTTGGGGAAGCCAGGGGCAGAGCAGCTGGAATGCTGCCCACGCTGCGCAGTTCCCCGCCGACCCCCCCCCCTCCATAACCCTCCTTCCGGTACTCCGGCATATCCAATAATCCGGCACCCCCTGGGTCCCAAAGATGCTGGATTACTGGAAGTTTACTGTAATTGAATTTAAGAAGTTATACCTTTTTGGCCCTATAGTTGTATTACAATCATTAATTACTCCTGGGGGAGTTCTGCATCACTGCACAATTCATGACCCCACAGATTTATTTACTTCCCCAAGGAATAATGACTACTGGAGAGGAAGCAAAGGGAAGTCGCAAGAGTGGCCATGTGCCCCTTCCCAGCAGTGCGAGTGTTGGGTGCCCACAACAGCTAGTAGAGACACAAATTATAGCTAGAATGGGAGAGCTGGGAAGTCACATATAAAAGAGAGCAAATGAGAGAGAGAGACACTCTGTCCCTCTCATTTGCTGTGGCAGCATGCTTGGTGTGGAGAGAAAGGGCTTTGGGGTGTTTCTTGGGAGGAAGGGTTGGGGCAGGCTCTGTCACCTCTGGAAGAGCAGAATTTTACAGCCTGCCAGCTTAGTGAATTGGTTTCATAGTTCTTAGTGAATTCCCTTATGAGTATAAAACAAGTGTAAAAATTTGAAGACTCCTTTACATTTCCAGAGTGGTGTAAAGGAGCCTTATTGTAAAGAACAGTGTGGACTTACAAATGCTTGTGGTGCTTTAAAGAGATTAGAATTGGTCTATATTTTTGGACTATCAAAATGTACCTCATAAACTGTTTGATACTGACCTTTCTGGAGATGGTCAGTAGGCAATATAAATTCTGAGTGTGAGTCTCCAGCCCTCACTTGGTCTTCAGTTGCCTGTAATGTAGCACAGAGCCTCTGACTGTTTGTATTTGTCAACTAATAGCTAGAAGTAAAGGGTTAATACTGGCTATCTTATTATTAAACAACAGGGCTTTGGGGATTTCCTTTACTGATCCTCGCTTCTATTCTTCATCCATTGTATGGTAGGGTAAATGAATTGCCAAAATAATTGAAACCAGCATGATAATGCTACTTTAACAGATAAAATATGCAGAATTTTAAAAATTTGGATGCAGAATTCCCCCCGGAGTAATTTATATACTTATTAATAACTGTCCTGTAGTATGTTCCCTTCAAAGACCCCAAATAACTACAAAACATGAATGAATGAAGTTTCCCAGTGCCCCCTTTAGCATGGGTATGGACTCCTAAATTACAGCAACTGGCATGCCCAAGACCAGACAAGATGAAAACCCTGATCTCCAGACCCCCGGTAATTTATTTTAATCACTAGAACATGTCTTCTTTGAATAAATGAAAGACAAAATCAAATAAAATACAGATAGAAGAACCTGCCCTGCTCAAAGTAAAGTTGTCCCATTGCCTTTGTGTAGGCAGCTCCCTCAGTGACAGAGCCATCATAGCATCTTCTGGGCCAAGCACACTTCCTGGCTGTTAGCGCAGGGTTTGTAGTGGGGGGAGGGTCAGCGTGCTATAAAATTGGGGCAATGCTGCACTCCAGTAATTCCTAGCTACTGGAAAAGTCCTTAGGGACCTCTTGCAATTGATGCTAATTGGAACACCATTAAGATGCTTTCATTTATGCTGGGGACCAGATCAGGGGCCAGGTGTAGCAATGGAGAAACTTGCTCCTCCTTGGTCCACTTTCCTTGTTGTGCAGGCTGGTATAGAAGTAGGTCAGGCCCTACACATCCCTTTTTTGGCCTTCTGCTTGGAATGAGTAATCTCTGTTCCCTGCACCTGGGGGACACATAGGGATTGCCATGGTGAAAGGCCTGTGTGAAGCCATGCAAAGGTAAGAGCCTTCTTTCCATGGCTGCACTCATGCAACAGCCTCTCCTGAGTTGGCCTTTAGAGCTTTACTGTTTGTTGTATGTTTGATGCATTTACTGTAACTGTTTTCAGAAAACCTTTAGTAGATATGGCACTAACTCTATTGTAAAATAAGGGCGCGTCTACACTGCACTGTAGCTCAAAATAAGATATGCAATTTGAGCTATACAAATTGTGTATCTTATTTCAAAATAGCCTATTTCGTAATTTGGAGCTGTCTACACAGCACAATATTTCAAAATAACCCACTATTCTGAAATGTCCCTTACTCCTTGTGGAATGAGGTCTACAGTAATGTTGGAATAGCAAGCCCGTTATATTTTGAAATAACAGGATTGCTGTGAAGATGCAGGATAGCTATTTTGTGATACTACGGTATCCCAAAATAGCGCTGCAGTGTAGACATAGCCTAAATGAGCAATGGCAAGATTCCCTATGGCAATCTTACTACATATTTTAGAAATGTGCATCTGTTTGTCCGTCTGTGAGTCTGTTCAAGAGCTCCTCCTAAACAGTAAGAGCTGGGACCACCAAATTTACTATACAGCTTCCTCTTATCATAACTCAAAGCAAGGTTATGGTTTAGTTGTGCCAGGATAATGGGATGTGCATGGAATTTGATTGTTTCTCATAAAATGGAAAGGGGGGGGGTCTGGTAGGAGGAAGTTATACTGCAGAATGACCCAAGGGGGCAGCAAGGGGCCAGAGATGGAGATCAGAACAGCTATAACCCCATTGCACCAGCAGTGGGTGGAGGATGGAGAAAGGAGTGGCTATCTAGTAACTATATTTTTCAGAGGGTTTGTCTGTTTGGGTGTCTGTCTGGCCCCCAGGAAGGAGAGATGCACCCCTCCCCAGGCTGTGCCTGCTGCAGCAGCCATGGATAGGTGCTTCCACCTGGCCCCAAGCTGCTGCAGTGAGAGAGGGATGGGGGTTGTCCTCTCTCACTGTGGCAGCCTGTATATTGAACCCCTCCTCCCTAGCCTCACCCCAGAACAATGATTTAAAAGGAAAAAAAACAAAACTTATTTGAGGAGGTGTAACAGTTAACTCGAACTAAGAACTTAGTTCGAGTTAACGTTTGACTGCCGTGTGTAGCCGCGGGCAGTTAGTTCAGATTAAGGGGATTTAAAAATGGCGCCCGGATGGGAAGATGCAAATAAAGCCCGGGATATTTAAATCCCGGGCTTTATTTGTAACTTCGAATGCCTACATTAGCCTCCCTAGTTTGAAGTAGGCGGCTAGTGTAGACATGCCCCGAATTAAAGACCCAAGCAATGTTGAGTAAATCTAGTTTTCTATATGCACTAAGGTTTTAATTTTAAAGCATCCATATCTCTCCAACATTATTTTCATTCAGTTCACCAGTCTGCTTTGAAAAACCATCCTGCAATATAAAATTCAAATTGTTCCTATTCTGTGTATTTTCAGGAAGGAAAAATAAATTTGTATGCATTCTATAGCATAAAGAATCCATAGGCTGATATCATAAAAACACCTATACTGTTAAAGCAGTAATAAATCCAGTTATTGTCTCCCTCAGAAAGTCTTTGAACCATCACACCAGTCAGTAAAGGTTGCATTGCATGTCTGCAAGAAGTGACCTAGAAAATTAACAATTCACAGATTGCAGTAATGAAGTTCAGACACGGCACAGCACATATATACTGTAGCTCTGTTTGTTTATCCTTTGGTTAGTTACTTTGTTTCTGGAGTTTTGGAAGCGACGGCAGGCTGAACTGGAATATGAATGGGACACTGTTGAATTTTTAGAGCAGGAAGAATCCGTACGTCCGGAATATGAAGCGCGATGCATTCATGTAGTAACAAATGAAATCACACAGGTAAGGAATGTTTTTAGAACTAGTCATACTGTGAAAGCTAAAAATTCAAACAAAAGCCTCATCAAAGTGATGGGCTAGATCTTGAATGGATATAAATCAGCACTCCTCCATTGAAATCGATGGAGCTATACTGCCTTTGCACCAGCTACAGATCTGTCCTGATACGTTGATCTTATAAATTGCAGGCCTAGCATACACCAGTCTGTATCAGGCTAAAATGTGGGGACTAGGGCTCACAGAAATCAGATTTATTATTGTAGCTGGTTGTACAGATTACTGTAGCCATGGGACTGGCAACTTTCTGTAATCCACAACACCAAGTGAGAGGGTGATTAGTAAACGGCAGTTTCCTAACGCCAGAGGGACTGCAATACACTCATCTGTAGCCACAAAATGGAGCCTCTGTTCCTGGAACAGCTTAGCCTAGAATAATTTTTGTTATGAGAAGCCCACAGTGGTCACTGGTTGTTCATTGTCCCTGAAAGCCTGGTGACAAGTCAAGAAAATAAAAGCAAATGAAGGAAGAGAAGTTCCATTTCATATAGTATTGAGGGGGGTTTATTCACAGAATACGTCTTTGAATGACAGAAGCACAAACCGGAATTGTGGCTAAGCATATATGGATACTAATAATAACATAGCAAAGTGCTCCACAGATCACATAAAATATATTTAAAAAAAGAGCAGATGTATGATTAATCACTTTGTAACTCAATTCTCTTTCCAGCAAGAAGAGCACGTGCCATACACTGCCTGTGGAAAGTGTGTACGGATGACCTTCTGTATAAGTGCAGTCTTATTCTGGGTAAAATTCTGTTGGTCTTGTTCTTTAATATAATGTACCTCTTAAAAAATAATAGCTTCATGAGAAGCTACCCCTGATATCAAAGTAAGGTACTAAGTTAAAATGAAAAGAAAACACATGGCTAGTTCTAATTCACTAAAATACGTATTGAAAACAGATTTTTACCCTAATGAGCTTTTCTTCCATGGAAAAAATACTTGGATCAAAATGGAATCCCAGTACCAAGTGGTTTGGTCACATGTCTTACTGATCTAATCACCTTTCCACTCACAGGACAAACAAGGCTGTTTACAAGTCATTAAATTGATCACCAGGTCGTTAAGGCTTCCAAGGGGGGCAGGCACCAGTAATAGCTCTCATTAGCACACTTAAAACTAAACAGTCTCATAGTTCATATTTCTGACTTCACATACAAGAATGATACATGCACCAAAATAGGATATACAGATCCAGCAGACTGTAACATTAAAGTTGTTCAAAGCATCTTCGAATTATGCATATTTACATTTTTATACAGCATTGGAGGGGAACCATCACACCCTCTCCTCGTTTCCCCCAACCTTTTGCCCCCCCTCCTGCATGCCTGTCTCACGTCACAATCCACTTCAAGACCCTGCACTCCCTCCTATGCCTCTCCTCTAGCTCAGAATTTTCTCCTGCCCTTGCAGACCCCCACATCTCCTCCTGCACACCAGTGCCTTACCCTGAGCTCCCTTTTGCACCCAATTTCCATCCCAGACTCTGCACCTCTTCCATTAATATCAGGGAAAAGTGCCGCCGTTGACCATTTGCCAAATTCTTGGAGTGGCACCCCATCAAAAATTATTGCCCACCTCTGCTGCAAGGCATGAGCTCTAATTATCTTTCTCATTATCTTAGGCTATAAATATCATGGCTATAAATATTATTACTGGTCATAACATTAATGATCCCTTTTTCCACAAGTTGACCCTATGCTACACAAAATTGTCTTCTCTTTTATGGGTTCTAAATTTATTGTGCTTTATCTTCAGAGAATCTCCTATTGCTCTCATATTATGGGATGGGGGAGAAAAAGTGTCCAATCAGTTTGTTTCCCTCCATAATATATATATTTCAAACCATTCTTTTCCCCAAGCCATATAATTTTACACTAGTATATATACCGTGCTCCATTTTCAGATTCTTTTGATCATTGCTTCAGTTATTGGAATCATCGTTTACAGACTCTCAGTTTTCCTTGTGTTTTCTGCAACATTGCCACGGCACATTACTGGAAAAGAAGCAATTCAGAAGTACCTGACTCCCCAGGCAGCCACTTCAATAACTGCTTCAATCATCAGTTTTATAATCATCATGATTCTGAACATAATCTATGAAAAAGTAGCTATCATGATTACTGACTTTGGTAAGTTTATGCCATAGCTAAGATAGAACTTCAGCTAAGAGCTATGAGAGAAAACAACCTCATTCTTAAGTATTTCAGCATTTTCCCTCTTTAGCATGTAACAATTTCTAGAGTTTTTCAAATAGAGCTTTTCACTTTTGTCAAATAAATCTATTTTACTCCTTGCTTAAGAAATCCTTGTATAGTCAGCATGAAAGATCTGTTGTTTACAGTTTGATGCTTGTGAAACAAACAAGGCAAGGAAGACTTTTTGAAAACAGATCAGTACCAGATATCACATTCAAGTACTTTAGCTATTGTTTATAGATAGATCAGCCCCTTTTTTTTGTAAATAAATGGAATACAGTCACTGGTCCAATGCAGGATGCTTTTCTCTCATTAGTAAACAGATAACCATTCACAAATATTATTATTCTTTCGATCCAGCCCATCTACGTTAAATCGCTATTCTGCTTTAAATGTGTACAGCATTGTAATTTTAATATGGTTTATTTCCATCAGTTCAAAGTGTTATGTTTGTTATTTATTGAGTCTGCTAGGGTTTTTTCTTTCTATGGGAGCCATAGAGAAGAGTGTTGTTCTGGTTTTTTTTAGCATCAAAGAACAAATTATTTCCTTCTTTACAACAGTCTTATAATTAACATAATGACTAACATGTATTGAGGGACCCTAAACAATCTAATTTATGCTGCAAATTCCATTCAAGCATGCAGGACATAGGCCCATTTTTGATGGGGGCACTAAAGCTGTTCAAATATTAATTTTCTTTTCCTTTTGTTTTTTTTTAAATACAGAACTGCCAAGGACGCAGACTGATTATGAAAACAGTCTGACAATGAAGATGTTCTTATTCCAGTTTGTCAACTATTATTCTTCATGTTTCTACATTGCATTCTTTAAGGGTAAATTTGTAGGATTCCCTGGAGACCCTGTTTACTGGTTAGGAAAATACAGAAATGAAGAGGTAAGAATCCACTCTGCTGTAATTCTTTTTCTTAATTAACAATGTAAGGTATCAGCCTAGGACCTGGACTACACTGAAAAGCTAGATCATTCCAGCTACATTGCTCAGGGATGAGAAAAAACCATACACCTGAGCAATGTCATTATGCTGATCTAATACCCAGTACAGACAGCATGAGGTCAATGGAAGAATTCTCCCTTCAACCTAGCTACTGCCTCTCTAAGGGTATGTCTACACTACAGAGTTAGTTCGAACTAACGGACATTAGTTTGAACTAACTTTCATAGGCACTAACTTTTCATTGGCATCATCAGGGTGGTCAAATATTGGAATAAATTGCCAAGGGAGGTGGTGGAATCTCCCTCTCTGGAGATATTTAAGAACAGGTTAGATAGACATCTGTCAGGGATGGTGTAGGTGGAGCTAGGTCCTGCCTTGAGGGCGGGGGGCTGGACTCGATGACCTCTTGAGGTCCCTTCCAGTCCTATTATTCTATGATTCTATGATTCTATACCCATTCCTTTCCTTTGGTGTCCTCTAGTCCTTCTTTATGGGAACTAATGAAGAACTTTTCTGTATGCACCCTCTCCACCCAACTCCTGCTTTTAGAGACCTCTATCCTGTTCCCCCTCCGTCTCCTCTTTTCTAAGCTGAAAAGTCCCAGTCTCTTTAGCCTCTCTTCATATGGGACCTGTTCCCAACCCCTGATCATTGTAGTTGCCCTCCCCTCTCCCACCCTCTCTCTTCCCCTCTCCCACCTCCTTTTCCCAGTCTCCCCCAGTTTTGTTCAATAAAGACAGATTCCATTTTTGAACACAATTGTCCTTTATTTTGAACATCAAGAAGAGGGGCTAGGGAAGGGTAAGTGGAAGGAGGTGAGGGAGGAATAGGGCACGAGCCCCCGATGGGGAGGACTGGGCTGGCGCTGCGGGCCTCTGGGGGTGGAAGCTCTCCTGCAGCCCCCCAATACCCCCCTCTCCCCAGATGGCAGCCTGTGGCAAGTGCAGCCGGGCTGATGGCCGAGTGGTCTGATGTGCTGAATGTGGGCACTCCGGGCACTCCAAGCCAGAACTTCTTTGCAAGTGGGGCACCCCTTAGAACTGTGTGTCCGGGGTGGGGGTCGGGACCCTTTAAGCACAGCCCTCG